TACAGCACAAACGTCTGGAAAGAGAAGAGCAAGTCAAGCCCAAAGTCAAAAGAAGGGTGAAATTTATAAAGATCAGAGCAGAATTCAATGCAATAAAGACCAAAGAAACAGTACAAAGAATTAACAAATCATAGAGTTGGTTCTTTGAAAGAATGAATAAAATTTATAAGCCTGTAGCCAACCTTATTTAAAAAAGGAAAGAAAAAACACAAATGAGGGGCTGGGGATTTAGCTCAGCGGCAAAGCGCCTGCCTTTCAAGCAGGCAGTCGTGAGTTCGATCCCTGGTACCGATAAAAAGGAAAAAGACAAAAAAAAAAAAAAATGTATGCAAAATAAATGGAAAGGGTGAAATCACTACAGATCCTGTGGAAATACAGATCATCAGTACCTACTTCAAAAACCTTTACTCTCATAGGTTTTATAACACAAAGAAATGGACAGGTTCCTAAATACATGTGAATTACCAAAGTGATCAAGAAGATGTAAACCTGCTGAATAATCCAATTATAATTGATGAAATTAAAAATCTAATTAGAACGTTACCAATGAATAAAAGCCCAGGTGCTGATGGATTCACTGCAGAATTCTACATGAAATTCAAGGAAGACTTAATTCCAACACTCCTCAAACTCTTCAATTAAATTGAAAGGAAAGCAATTCTCCCTAACTCATTGCTGGAAGCACATATAACCCTAATATCAAAAATAGAAAAAGACCAAACCAAAAAAGAGGACCACTGGCCAATATCCCTAACGAACATATATGCAACAATCCTCAATAAAATACAGGCAAAGAGAATGCAGCAAATCATCAAAAACATTGTACACCATGACCAAGTGAGATGTATCCCAAGAATGCAAGGATAGTTCAACATACACAAATCAATAAATGTAATCCATCATATCAATAGACCCAAAGATGATAATCACATGATCATGTCAATAAATGCATAAAAAGCTTTTGATAAAGTCCAGCACTCATTCACAATAAGAACTCTACAGAGAATCCAAATAGATGGTTTTTACCTCAATCTGATAAAAGCCATCTATAGCAAACCAACGGCTAGCATCATATTAAATGGCCAAAAACTGAAAGCTTTCACAGGAAAATCAGGAACAAGACAAGGATGTCCATTATCACTACTCCTATTCAATATAGCTCTGAAAATATTAGCCTGAGCAATTAGACAAGAGGGAGAAATGAAGAATTAGGAAAGCAAATGTTAAATTATCATTATTTGCAGATGACAAGATACTCTACATAGCAGACTCCTAAAACTCAATTGGAAGACTTCTAGGTATAATAACCAAATTCAGTAATGCAGCTGGATACAAAGCCATTATTCAAAAATCAATAGCTTTCTGGTACACAATGCACTCACTGAGAAGAAATAAGAGAAACCACATCCTTTACAATAGAATCCCCAAAAATGAAATACATGGAAATCAAGGTAATACAGGAAGTAAAAGACCTATTCACTGAAAATTACCATACTCTGAAAAAAGAAATAAAAGAGGATCTCTGAAAATGGAAAGACATTCCTTGTTCATGGACAGGAAGAAAAGACATTGTGAAAATGGCCATTCTCTCAAACTTGTTATACAGATTTGATGCAATTCTAATCAAAATATCATTAGTATAACTCACAGACCTATAGAAATCATTGTTAAAATTCATCTGGAACCAGAAGAGACCTAGAATAGTAAAGGCAATTCTGAGTAACAAAAATAAGGCAAGAAGCATCACAATCTCTGACTAAAAAGCTAATGTGGTAAAATGAGCATTATACAGGTATAAAAACAGACCTGAAGATCAATGGAATAGATTAGAAGATATGGCACAAGTACAAATATACTCAGCCATCTTATCTTTGGCAAAGGGACCAAACATATTACGGGAAGAAAGATAGCCTCTTTATAAATGATGCTGGAAAAACTAGCATCTTATCTTTGGCAAAGGGACCAAACATATTACGGGAAGAAAGATAGCCTCTTTATAAATGATGCTGGAAAAACTGGCTTTCCTTCTGCCATAAACTAAAACTAGCCCTGTACCTATCATCGTGCACTAAACTAAAGTAAAAATGAATCAAAGATCTAAATATTAAAACAGAAACATTACATATACCAGAAGACAAAGCAGGTAGAAATCTTGAAGGCATTGGGTAAGCAGAAAATTCATGAACAAAAATCAAGCTACACAGAAAATATTTCCCAAAATCACAACTGGGATTTCATCTTATAAAATTTTTTGCATGTCAAAAGACATCTCCAACAGAGTGAAAAGAAAACCCATGGATTGGAAAAAATCTTGGTCAACTCTCCCTTAGACAAAGGACTTCTATTTAGAACATATAAAGGAGTAAAAAAAAAATTAGACCCCCAAAATTCAAAGACCCAATCCAAAAATGAGAATCTTAGATGAATACACACTTCTCAGATGAAGAAATACAAATGGAAAATGAATACATGAACAAATATTCAGCATGATTAATAATTAGAGAAATGCAAATTAAGACCACAGTGAGATCCCATCTCCAGCAAAATAGCCAGGATCAAGAAAACTACCAACAACAAGTTCTGGAGAGGCTGTGGGGATAAAGGAACTCTTCTGCACTGTTTGTGGGACTGTACGCTGGTGCAGCCATTGTGGAAATCAGTCTGGAGTTTCCTCAAAAAGTTGGATTGGAAGTCCCATTTGACCCTGGTATTCCACTGGGCATATTTTCAGAAAAACTGAAAATATATCACAGTGATATATGTGCACCAGTGTTTATAGCAGCACAATTTGTAATAGCCAAATGTTGCAAACAACCCAAATGATCATCAACTGATGAATGGATAAAAAAGATTTGGTATTTTTATATAATGGAGTACTACTCAGCTTTAAGGAAGGATTGCATTGAGACTTTTATAGATAAAGAGATGTGACTTGAGACCATATTCATAAGTGCAATAAATCAAACTCACATGTGTAAATATTGTATCATCTCCCTAGCGTAAGAAACTGAAAGAGTAAAAAAGATATAAAATCTTCAGTAAATATTGTGAAAGGTTAAGAAACGACTCAAAGGAAAAAAAATAATTCAGATAGGGAAAAGGAGAAAAAAGGAAGAGAAAAGAAAAAGATGCAAATTTGTATATCTGTATACTTAAGATTACTAAGATGATTGTCCTAATAATTCTATCAGTTCTTAGAATTTAGGATTAGATCAGTTTTACGTGCTTATATTTTGTAGTCTGAGTAACTCTTTTGAAAGTAACTATGTAAATTAACAACCTTATTTATGTTCCTACCACCTTGTTTTGAAAGGCTATATTGTTATTGTTTAGGGCTCTTTGTTATTGTTATTTGTTTGTGTCTTTTGTTTCTTGTTTTTCTTGTATTTTGTTTTGTTTTGATTTCCCCTCCAACACTGAAGAAAATGAGACTTATGGTAGTCATTACTGAATCTCTATCATCTTGTTTTGAAGTCCAGTAATGCCTTTTTTCTTTGTTGTGGTTGGTTTTAGACTGTTTTCTATTATTTGACTTCAATATATGGGAAGATATGGACAACAATTTTGAAGAGAACAAGAGACAGAATGGTAACCATGGTTGATTTTTCTATTGTCTTGTTTTGAAGGACTCTAATGCTTTCATTCTTTTGATCAGTTGTATACTATTTTGTTTTGTTCGAATTTATTGTATGTGAAGATATGGGCAACTATTTCAAAGTTAAAAAAAGATATTATGGTAGTCACTGTTGATTTCCTCTTGTCTTGTTTTGAAGTCCTGTGATGCTTGCATCATTTTGGTCTGATCTACTTCGTTTTGTTTTATTCTCTTTAACATATTAATTTTAAAGATATGTATTTTAAAAAATCAGTCTCATCATATAAGACCCCTAGTCTTCTTGAACATAATTCCAGAGTAGAGAAATATGTGATATAAATAATAAAGCAGCAAATTGTGCAATAGATGGTATAATAACTTCTACAAAAAATTAAATACAGTTGGGGGCCCAGCAGGGCTTGGGCAGTTAGTTACAGATTCTAATATTTAAAAGGACAGGCAGGGAAAGTACCATAGAGAGGGATGTGGGAGTCAGTCCTGTGGATAACTGGGGAAAGGGTTCCAGGAAGAGGCAAAAAGGTGTTACATTTTGAATCTAGAATGTTCTCTAGAACTTGTGCTTAGAGATGGGGGCTTTTGGAAAGTGACTGGATACCACGTGCTCTGCTCATCACTGGATTCAATCACAGATGAGTTCAGTAGATGAGTCCCCCCTTAGAAGACGGGACTTGATTAGAAATGAGTCACTGGGAGCGTGACCTGAAGGATATAATTTTTGTCCCTGGGTCTTCCATTTATTCTTCTTGGGCTGCAATGATGTGAGCTGCTTTGTTACACTCAGATCCTTCACTAAGTCATTTCTGTCCTGGATCTAGCTGAGCTAGGACTATAACCATAAGTTAAAGTAAACCTGTCCTCTTTTAACTTTTGTCGGTCAGGTAGTTTGTCTCAGCAGTAAAAAAGGTGACACAGACAGAAGAATAAAAAGGTTTGAGGGAGGGTAGAGATACAGCACGATGCAAAGGAGGTGAGACTCAGCCAAGACAGTGGTCAGGCTTGTTGTAGAGTTTCTAAGGATTTCTTTTGCCCCTGACCATCTCTTCTTTTTCAGTGTCTATCTGTTCTATGATGTCCTAGCAAATTAAATGGGAAAATTAATATACCATAAGTTTCTTCATCAAATGCATTACCCAAATGCTAGCAAGTTGAACCAAGGATCATATTGAAAAAGGATTCAGAAGAAGGAATGGTGACTTGAAAAGAAGAGGAAAAATAATGGCTGTAGATAGGCACTCAGACACACGGCTAAGTCCTATGAGGGAAACCTGCACAGGAAGCTGAAGGGGGAAAGTGGTCCAAGGTGCTTTTCAGATGGAGAAGAGAGACTAGGTGACCCAAGGAGAGAAAAAATTCCATTAAAGGAGCTCAGAGAAAGACAAAAATGTAAATCTAGTGTTTGTTTTGTGACAACTAGGCAGAAACAAATTTTATTTCAATATAGGCATTATAACGCAACACTAAAAATTCCATCAGCTTGTAATTCTTCAAAAAGTTTTGATTGCTATAACTTTGAGTACTTACTTCTTAGGTTTTAGAGATATGAGAAATACAAACAAAAAATCACAACATTTTAAATCAACTAATTACTTTCATTTCTAATTAAATTCTCATCTTGACACTCCAGTTAGGTGTCACTGATCTCACCTTGCAGAAACAAGCCCACAAGGATTAAATTTACTTAAACATAGATAGATGCAGGAGCAGATTTACTTTGAAAATAGACCACGTAATGACATTTCATTCCACGATTGACTATGTTATATACAACTCTGATCTTCTAAGATTATCATAGGGCTTAAGTACGCTTTTCATTTAATGACATTGTAACAGGTAACGTTCTATAGTGGCATGATAAGCCGGAAAGTATACATTTTGTTAGTATTACACCATAACACATTGTTTACGTGTTTGTGACAATGTTAGCATAAACAAATCTAGAGCCATGCAGTATTGTGAATGTATACCATATTCATAAGATTACAGTACATAATACTTGGCAATAAATGATATGTCACTGATTTATGTATTCCTAGACTATATTTTTATCATTATTCCAAAGCATACTTCTACTGAATGAACAAGTTCACTATAAAACGGTATGCTGCTTTAAACTATCAGCAGCCTTGTCCATCTTATCCTCATTTACGTCATCTTTTGATTCCTTCAAGAGATCAAGTCTAGTGATTGCCATAAACCCTGAAGTGTAGTCTAAGCAGACTTTGCACAATCACAAAATGGACTATACAATTATTTCCCAGAAAGTAGCCACACTAAGTTCCACCCAGCAGTTTACACACATATACATTACCCAGTCATATGTATGTATACACCATGCACACGCATCATTTCTACATGAAAATGCAAACGTATGTTATCTTCAAGTGGACAATATCTTAGTCTTCTAACCATTACTATATTAACATGAAATGCAGAGGCAGAGAATGAAAGTGGTCTGTGCTTGGGAGTTCTCCATGTTAGCTGCTATGACTGTATCCCAAATTGATTTGAAGAGACTGTTTTCACAGCCAGAGATTCGTGTTCAGATCTTAACTCTACTTCTTTCTTGTTGTGACATTGCCCAGTACCATACCTCTCTATATGTTAGACTTTCCATGTGTGGTGCATGATATTTAATCAGTTGCCTAATGACCAAAAATTCTATTATCATATATATATATATATATATATATATATATACACACTTTTTCATTATAACTTAGCAGTTTTGTCATACAGAGACATACTGTCTTTGGATCTGCACCTGGCCTGTGACTCTTTACAAAAATTACATGTACTATCAATGATATTATGCGAATGGTCTTGTACATTCTGCTTTTACCTTAAAGGAACATGTTGTGAACAGTCCCAGGTTTGTACCAAGAGAAGTAAAGTGTCAGATATTTGAAAAAGATATCTTGGGCTTTCTGGTTCACCTAACACTATAGCTTCATGAAGTTGCATTTGTGATCGCAGGAAAAAATCAGAAAGAAATTGCTCAGTATTTCAATAACACAATAAATAATAAATGATTATTGCTTTGTCCTCTTTGTTTGAGGTTATAGATTGTTTTTATGCAGTTACTCTGTCATATGGTTGTTTGATAGTTAAATAAATTAATACATGTAGAATGCTTTGAACTGAGGACGAAGGATATAGCTCAGCTGCACAGCACCTGCTGGCAAGTGTGAGCCAGAATGTATGCATTTTGTTATTGGTGTGATGAGTCTGATTGTCAGTATCAAAAAAAAAAAAAAAACAACAACAACAAAAAGAAAGCTGAAAGTGCTTTGAATTGAGTGCCTGGAATGCAGTAGTTCCTCAGTAAACACAAGTCACATGTTTAATTGTATTTTTTGTATGCCCAGCAAGATAGATTATGCTAGTATTTGCTATGCTATGCTAGCAAGATAATTTGCTAGCATTCAGAGCTTGTGGCTTTTCACTATTGCTTATTCTATTGGAATGGGTTTAACTGATATAATATATATATATATATATAACTTGCTATATATTTGAGTGTTCTCCAGCTAAATTTTTGAGATATATGTGTAGGTTTGGATTGATATTGGACACACAACTATTTAAATATGAATTTTGATATAACTTTCAGTTAAATCATGTCTGCTTAGTAACGAATCCTGATTTATAAGTGTTTCCTATTAATTTTTCATATAGTTCTCATGTCTTTTGAAAACACATTAATAGGTTTTACTTAGGTAAGACTAACAAAGAAAACATATTTTTCTTGTTACTCACTTTAGTTTGAATCAAGTGGAAAACCCATGCAATGTCTTACAAAAGATTAAAGATATTGATGATTTTTAGGAAAAGTTGCCTAGAAAGGTTTTCCCCTTATAAACTGATGATTGCTAATTCATTAGTTTCGCTGAATACTCTTTGTTTGAATCAATAGTGTTCAGTATTGGCATAGCGAACTAAAAAGTATGTATTTTGCTAATATTCAGAAAATTAAACAGTTTATTTAAGCAATTCAAAAATTAAAGTTGATGTGGATTTTTATGCATTCATTAGGTATTTACTCAGCACCAAATTTTAGACATGGTGGTAAAAAACACAAAATTTCTGCTCCTGTGTTAGTTATGTTTTTATGGAAAGATAGATAATCAATATGTAAAGAGGAAAGTGAGACAACTGTAGGTAGAAAATGTAGTGAAGAACAGACTGTACAGCAATAGGATGCATTGATGAGGATGTGCTAATAAGACTGCTGAATGGAGCGTGGGTGGTGAAGGAATTAGAGGAATCCTGTCACTGATTTTGCATGTAGGTGGGATGATTATGCTCTGAGAATAAAAGGAATCTGTCTTATTAATGAAAACAGACTCCAGTAAAGAAGTAAATGAAAATCAAATTTAGGCCTGTTAATTTTAAGATACCTTTGCGATAACAACAGGAGACACACTGACCACTCTCTATTGTTCAGAGGAGAATTTAATCTGGATATCTACATTTTTTGTGTCACCATGGGCCACAAGAAGGAAGCACAGAGATGTTTTCTGGATGCAGTCAAGTTGCTATCTTGAATTCCATCTCCATATTGGAGAACCACAGCATTAAGACCCGGGGATTTGGAAAATTCTAACTTCCTTCAAGAACAGAATAAAATGTTCAAAAGCCTTCCAATCTCATAGTTATCCCTTCCAAGAGCATTGTCTGGCATCACATGACCCATCACTTGATTTTTGACAGCATTCTATATCTTTTTCAACCACTGAATGCCATTGTCCTCTCAGTAAAACACCTGCATAAATATATAGAATATATTTGTGCCCTCAACTTTACCCATTACTGTTGTGTGGTTTTCTAAAGGGATTGTAAACATCACAAAGAAGAGCTTGGTTTTCTTTGCTCTAAATCATCATCATCATCATCATCATCACTGTTCAAAACTGCCCATTTCCTTCACACAGTTATCTGAACTCCTCTCCGTGGCAAGTAGGAGCATAAGTTGAGATCCTGAAGTGAAGCATGGGTGTGAAGTGTGAGGAGTGATGTAGGTTAGGGATTACTTTAGTGTATTTGGGGTTAGACAATGAATGGAGAGCTGAGAGAAAGGTCTTGAAATGCCATGTTGATGCCACAGGTATTTCCTTGTCCTAGTTATATAAATAAATATTTATAAAACAATAGTTTCTCTATCCACAAACTCTATTTTATCTCTACATCTATTGCATCAAAATAGTTCCTCAAATTATTACATAGCACATTTAAGAAGCAAAGGGTGAACATCAAAAGAAGATAGTCTCTAGAAACTCACAGTATGAGGTTGGCGAAGGGAGTTAGATAGACCAAAGCACAGGGGAAAATTTTAGATTGGAAGTAGAATGTAGACCAGAGACAAGTATTCTGGGTTTGAGTATGCATAGTGCAATATGAACCTGAAAAAGACCATCTTAGCCTCTTGGTGAAGTCATAAGGTCTTTCTGAGTGGCATCCATGGCTTTGTGCAGGCATGGTCTGCGCTGAGCTCAGAGAGATTCAACATCACTCTGGTTTTCTTTCTTATCTTCTTCTTGCTCTTGTGTCCTAGTCCATTTGAGCTTCTGTGCTGGTGGAAGAGCACTATCACTGCAGAGAAAAGAGGCATTGAGGCAGGCTGATCTGAGGTTACCATTAGAAGAACGGCATTTCTTTATGAGTGAAGGCTTTGTCTCCAAGAACAGAAGATTTATCCGAAGCTGTCAAATATGATTGCCGTTTCCTGATCCTCCAGATTTATGTGAAAACACAATAGTTCCTTTTTTAAATAGAAAAACAATAGTTTTAGAAATGCTTTTTAAAGGACTTAGTATAGGTGATGTCATTAGTTTATTAATAATGAATGTGGTGACTTTGAAGCAGAACAAAGAGATGATGTAAACGGATAAAATTTGCCTCGTTGGACTATGAGCTGTGTGAATCTATAATTTGGGTTCTGGGTAAGGGATTGGTAGTGTTTTATAATGATCAGGAAGAATGCATCTGGCAGGGGATTGTCTTGCATTAGCAGAAGTCTCTTGGGGGTAAAATGGCAGATAAGATTATTAAAATCAATGCTGTGGAGGAAAATAAATGAAAGCTAGAAAAATGCTAGTAGGAAGAAATATCATTAAATGTAAAGAATATACAAGTGACAACATACTGAACATATTTTCTTTCTTTGTATGAAAGAATAAAGAGTAACATAATGTTCCTTAATTTTCAGAAGAGTTCATATAATAATTTCCCATTATAAGTTCAATGTAGAAATGTGTTGTGATAGCCTAGATAGCTAAACTTTCTTTACAGTGTATAATCATGCTATTCCAGTAGTACCCCAGAGATACTTTCTTTACCTGAATAAAATTTTAATGAAGCATTAGATTGAGTCACAAATCACATTCTGTCCAAACTTGTGATTGACCAAAAATCTAAGATTAACAGCAAATACTAAAATAACAGAACTAGGACTGAAAATGATATGAACAAACTAAAAGGAAGCCTTAAAACCAGTGAGATAAATTGTAGCAGTGATAAACATAATGATCTGCAGTTAACTTTAGAAAGTCAGCTGCCTAAGTGAAGACTGAGTCAGCCAGACTTTAAACAGTGGGAGTTAAGTAACTACAAATTTAGTGAGAGCCAGCAGACTCACCCATCTGTGAAAATAAGGCCATCTGATCTTAGGCTGCACAAACAAAAGCATAATATGCTAATAAATCAAAACAGTCTATTAAATTCTTAACTATGTAGCTGACAACCATACCTGGAGCATTATATCCTGTTCAGGTGCTATGTTGGTTTGAGTACAGGACAGTAGGATTGTAGAAGTTTTATTATGAAAGGCAAAAATAAAGATGATTGCTTAGTTCATGAGGGAGATAGAGACTTGAGATTACAAAAGAGAGTCATTCAATTATATTTGGATTCACAATATAATACCAGAAAAGTTGTTAACAGATAAATACAGATTATAGAGAAGCTCTTGTAATAATTTCAGCTGTCCCATGATGTTGTTGGTTGGCTCATATGTTTGTGAGATTTTCTTCTGTGGAATGTTTAAACCAACTTTAATGGTAAATCAGAAATGTCAGAAACATGACATGCTTAGCCCAGAAGGCTGTAGACAATGAGAAAAGCCATCCTGTGAGAGAGGAGCTGGCAGGGCCATAGGCGTGAGGCTATCCAAGAAATGTAAACATATAGCTAGAGGACTTGATGTTTGCCCTGCTGGGATTTGGTCTTGCTTTGGTTCTCTTGCTTTCAATCTCCGTACTCCTTGCTTTCAGAATGGGAATGCTTTTCTGCTGCTAATGTACCATGGAATTACATAATTTGCTTCTGATATTTTACAGAGAGTCACAGCTAAGAGTTTACAATGATGCCTTGGAAGGGATGTGAATTTGTACTTTGACAAATTCTGAATCCACTGAGACTTTGGGGAAGGTACTATTTTGTTTTCACTTGTATGCATGAATTTTGTATTATGGTAAGTAGAATTATTAACTTGTGTTTTTTATTTAGGCTAACAATAGTTTAAGGAGATAGATTTGGGTATCAAATTGACAAGGAAAAATATGACAGTTAAGCATAATTTTTAACTTGATTGTCTTGAGAATCTCCTGTGAAATTACTGAAGCACACTTGAGGGTGTGTCTGGATGGGTCAGGAAGGGTGACTCTGTGCTCTGTATCTGGTCTCTTACCCCTTTCTCTAGCACTGTCCCCTTCTATGCTTTCCTGTCAGCATGAACTGAGCAACTTGCTTCTGCCACACCATTCTACCATTCTGATTCTGCCTTAGAAACGACTGGCCATGAACTCAAACCTCGGAAACCATGAGTCAAACTAAATGTCTCTTCTTTTAAATTATGTATGATGCATATTGTGCCCCATTGATATAAGAGCGGACCAATACATTCAGGTTGAATTGTTTCTATACAACAGTGTGACAAAGAGATTCTACCACTGTGTAGAGCTAACTCACACTATATATGAAAGATAACTTGGAATTTTGAAACATTCCCTCCATCTCAGACAGTGTACGATTCTATTCTTTACCCTTGATTATACAGCTGCCATATTCAGTTAAATTATAGCTATGTACCTAAAGAGAAGAGTTATTGTGCATGCATGTGTGCATGCTTGTGTCTGTATGCAAGTGTAAATATAAGTGTAAATATGTATAGATGTTCGTACAAACACAAACACTTGATAAAGCTTGCTTTTTCTGAATTCTGTAACATTTCTCTACAGTTCTGTGAATAAAATCCTTGAGCACAGTTGGTGCCACTCTTCTCACTGGATATATGTGCAAAAGAAAACTGAGCTTAATGGCAAGGTGACACATAAACAAAACAGGAAAACAGGAAGTGAAGAACCAGAGCTAGAAATAATGAACTTAATATCAATTGAAACCTCACAACATGGAAATTATCCTATGTAACTTTTACCTATGCGACTTTCATAAGAATATATTCTTTCAAATACAACACTGCAGGAAATGAGCATATCCTGAGATGGAGACTCCTAGCCATTGTGTATTACATTTCAAGCCAAACAATTTCATTGTAACTTCTGGGGGGAAAAAACACATCTTTTTTCCCATAAAAATATAAAATATTTTCAAAGAAAGCACCTCAAAAAGAAGGAATAATCCTTCCTTCATTTCTGGAGAATTCCATGAGATTTTATATCTTTTGTGATTTTGGCAGAGGTAAGGCTTTTTTCCTATATAGCTGCAATTTCAACCTTCTGAACATTAAACAGATATAAATTATCTACAAGGCTAAAAAGTCTTTGATTAACAAGCTAGGGAATTGCAGGTATTAAAATTGCCCCCCAGAGGGAGCCCATATCGTTCCATGAATGCATTAGACATCTACTTTGAATTACAAAGAAAAATTAATTAAAAAGTATATGTTTATAAGTAATGTGTGTTCCCTTGAGTTCATTCTAAAAGCCACATATGTGCAGAATCTAATAAAAATTAAATTACATTAGCTGCATATTTTACTTAAGCAACATAAGGAAAAAGATAAAAACTGGTGATACCTAATGTCTCGTTCAAGAAAGCTTCTTCAGTGCCCCAACAGATCTGAATGAATTTTAATACTCAGCGTTCACTGGAGAATTCTGCGTGCAGCTGAAAATACGACTGTGGTTACCTTACAAAAGGGTGATCCAGAGTCGCTGTGAACAGCCCTGCTTCTAATCTATCTGCTGTCCTCTAAATTATTCTGTCCATGTCCACATGGGCTCTGCAGAGTTGGTGGTGATAGAAAGATTCAGCAGTCTCGATTTACAAGGTGTCATCTATGCTGGGAACGAGCAGGCAGCACTGCTGATTGCTGAACATTTTAACACACTCAACCTCAGGCACAGCCTTCCCATCCATCTGATCTTTCAGACGATGTGGCCTTAGCTTCTCTAGATCTGTGCAAGTCTAGAAGCAATAAAAATGTTATGACATCCAACACTTTCCCATATTTTGTTTATTCCATAGATATCTAATTTCATTCATTTTTGTGCCTTCTCCACCCCTCCCTGTGCTTTTTCCCCATTCAGTTACCATGGAAACAATTTCCCTGGTAGGGGAGGAGCCTAAAGGCATCCAGGAGTGTGAAGCAAAGTCAATTTATATTATGGTTTTGTGAAATATTGGGAGTTTGTAATGGTTGTTATCGCCACATATGGTAAATCAATGTTTCTCTAGAGCAAATTTCTAAATATTGATATGAGGATGGAAGTGAGAGAATTATATAGAACCAGACAGCTCAGCTACTTGCATGGCAACCTTTCAGGTTGACATTTCAATTTTCATTTGCATGCCCAAATAAAATACAAAAGAGAAAAAAGTACTATTTATTAGTTAAAATCTATTTTAAATTCTTTAAAGGCGTCAATTAAACACTAACAGAAGCATATAGTTGTTTCAGTGATACAAATTAAAAAGTGCTAGCTGAACACTTATAAAGCTGCCTGGGAGTATAAACCTGCAATTTTTTACATATATCTTATAGATAGCACTGTAGTTATGCCATCCTTATGCTCACTATCATTGTGCTAAGTCAACTGGTATTTGGACAACCATGTGAATGCAATAAGTACAAGTTTTAAAAGATTGTCAAAATATGTGCACCTCACCCAAACAAGTAAGGTGGTGACACTTTCAGATTTTGAAGTAACCTGGTTTGTCCTCCTTGTCAAAACCAAAATTTGTTTATTTGGTTTTTCTCATAGCTGATCTGCTCTCTGTTTTCTCTCAAAGAGCCGTGAATGATGAGACGACAAAATATTGGATTATTTGTGCTCTCGAAACAGATGCCACCTGAGTTGTGACAGGTATTTTAAGTATAATCTTCTGCATTCACTTAACACTCTCATTTGAAAATTTTCAAACCTTGGGCATATTCTCGTTCATTTACCACCAAAACGAAATGCTTCTTGGGCATGAAGAGACAGCTGGGAATAAAACAGGACCAGTGAATGCAGGTGTGTACCGGGAAGGGAAAACAGCCGAGTTAGAACTGTCTCAAAAAATTGACTCCATACCCACTCAGAACGACAGTGACTGAGAAGTCTCTGAGTTTTTTTTTTTTTTTCTTTGTTTTTGTTTGTTTGCCTCATGATAGAGCACCCTGTGCTAACTAAAAAGATTAGCAAAAATGCAGTTTAGCTGACATTTTTGATAGCAGTCTCTTAAAATTGTTCTGCTTAATTCTCCCCCACCCTCACATTTTTGTCTACTGATAGAGCATGGTCATAGGCTGACAGTACGTTTGAAATGTAATCTCATTTCTTCTTTAAGTTTGGGAAAATGCTTATTTTATAAGCTTTTATAAGCTTTTGAGATGAATACTTTTCAGCTTGAAAGGGATATCTTGAGAAGAAATTTTAAAGTAAATGTTCAGATAGATGATTTGTAGTTTTTAAAAACTATAACTGAAATATTCAGACTTGGAATTTTACACAAAGACAATAGGAGGAAACCTAGAGGGTGGGAATGGAACATTGCTGTTTGATTTATCTCAAAAAGTAACTGGGACTTCACAGAAATCTTACGAGTCAAGAGACTGACAGAGTTCTCTCTTTTTTTTTTTCAACCCCTTTGTTCTCTTTATTTCTGAAAAATGCTATTTAAAAGGCTACCATCATTTTGTCTGCCATTTGTTTGTACCAGATGAGTTGATTTCATAATTGCTTCTTACCAAAAAAGTAAATTCAAAATAAGTGTGCTGTAACATAGAGAATCGGCCAGAAGGCAGGTTCAGAGAAGTTACTGCAGTTTGAATAGTCTGGCAAAAATATTCTCACCCAGGAAAGGTCTGGGGCTAGTGTACAAAGCAACGCACCTCCTACCTAGGGTGAACACAGGGAACACCTCTGCAGAGTGAACATTCCTACTCAACTGGAGGATTTGTAAGCAAATTTCTTTTCCAGAAAAATTGTGTGTATTGTGTGTGTGTGTGTGTGTGTGTGTGTGTGTGTGTGTTTATGTGCATTTTGCCAGAAAAGGCAGGCAGTGTCCAGCTTTACTATTAATAGATGTTTACGATACATAAAATAAAAATACACAGTTACATCAGTTTTCTTTATTGATGCTTTTCACTATTAGGATAAGTCACGTATTTTTTTTCCAATATACCCTCTCTAGAGCTGGGGATTTGGCTCAGTGGTATAAGTGCCTATCTGGCAAGCAAGAGGGACTAAGTTTGATCCCCAGTATCATCATATGTATATATATATATATATATATATATATATATATATATATATGAGAGAGAGAGAGACAGAGAGATTTTTAATTTTTTATTTATCATTGTGTTGGATGTGATTGAAAAGTATGATGAATGCTTGAATTTTTTAAAAGTTTTATCACAGCATTATCATTAATTTCCCTTAAATTATTCCTCTGTATTTCAAATGCATTTATCCCATCATTCTTGCTGCTTTTTGAAATAGTTCTGGTGGTCATCTTTTGTTTGTTTAATTGTGCTGCTGTGGCTGCTGTGATATCCTGAGCTCCAAAACATTTATCTTTCATGGTCATTTTGACTTTGGGGAAGAGTCAGAAGTTGCATATCTGGTGAATAAAGCTGATGTGGGCGCACCACAGTGTTTTCACATGGTTTCCTTTTCATTGCATGGCACTCAGCCAAGTGTTTCCTGTATATGTGATTGCACCTCATAGAGACATTCATGAAAGATGATTCCAGAGCTGCTTCAGAAAGTGGCAAGACTGATAGAATAGGTATGTTACAGACAAGTGAAAATATTCTGATTGGGATTAATGGCAAAATAATACATTTTTACTTTAATTTTTTTTAAATTTAAACAATAGTCATATGTTTTAATTACATCTTACATTTAAGCACAGATGCATGACTAGGACAAGAGAGGACTACTGGTCTATTCTGGAGATAAATAAAGACAGGAAGTGATCTGCTCCCGTGGGTCTTTTCTTTGATCCAGGGAACTTCTGAATCCAATGACATTTTTCTGATCTCTCTAGTGAGAGATAACAGGCAAGTTCAGGGCACAGTTATGATTTTGATGTATAACTTTATTGCTTTAAATAAGGTCAACACTATCAGAATTCGCTTCCTTGTCTCTGCAGTATGGTGAATGCATGCATGTTAGACAGAGATAAGGTGTCAATTTAGGAACTATCTGGTTAACTGTCAATCATGATTAACGAAAGAGAAAACATTGGTTTTGGATTTTTTTAAGAATAAATTTTCATTTTTAACATTCTTGTATTTGTGACGTAAAACATTAAAAGATGCACAGTTTTTTCTAAATGCTTGTGGTTTGTTTGTTTAGCTTTGGGTTTTGGATAAACAGAAGTCATGGATCAATGAAGAAAAAGGAAATATTCAGCAATCCAAATCTATTTCATGGTGAAATCTATGGTTTCCTTCAATGACCCTTCTTCTGACCATGTCCTGAGTGGGAGTTATGCATAACATGCAGGGAGGCAGGGCAATATTTTCATATTTTTGGTTACTGAATCTTGGTGATCTAACCCTAACTCATGACAATTCCATTTTTATGTCACTTGAGTTTTTTCTTTAGTACTCTCAGCCCTGCAGGTCTGTTCCTCTTTGTATGGCAAATGGGTCATATGTAGGTAGTAAGAAAAAGAGTCTAGTACTGTCCAGGAAGTTGGTGAAAGGATAAAACAGGGAAGAGGCTCTAATAGCATGTTTAGAAAAGGAATTTAAATTGTAAGGAGGGATAAAATTTTTAAAACCAGAGGCAGACAAATCTGGTCCATATCATTTGAGGGTCATTGTGGTCAGGTGTGTGTACATGATGTCAGGAGAGTCACAAGCCTGGCCAGAGTTGCTGTTGATGGGTATTTGGTGTTTGACACAGTGACAGGCCTAGCACGTGATGGGAAGACTGAAAGGATCAATTAGTACATCAGTTCTCATGTGCTGTCATAATTTGGTTAGGTCTGAAGTTCTAATTGCACTGTTTTATATTAAGGCAATCTTAGATTCATGTTCAGTTATGAAAGTCTACAGAGAACATATATGTGTCTTTTATCGATTTTCTCCCAGTGGTGACATTTTGTAAAACTATAGTACAACATCTCAATTAAAATAGTAGAAACCATATAACCAAGCCACTATACAAATATTTCTATCACCACAAGATATTTTAGTTTGCCTTTTTATAACTTACATAATCACTAATTTGCTCTTTGTTTCTGTTCTGTTACCAGGTCAAGAGTGTTCTACATTGGAATCACATACTAATATGAACCTTTGAGTAATGGCTTTTGCCCCTTAGCATAATTCTCTGTGATGTGTATGAATTGCTATATGTGTTGATAGTTTGATTCTTTTTTTTCCTTTAAATTATATTTCATCATATGCATTTACCACAGATTTTTATCACTCAATCGTTTCCACTGAAGGATATTTTGGTTGTTTCCAGGTTTGGATTATTGTGACTTACTAGCTAAACTAATTAAGTTTTAAAGAAGCTTCTATTAACTTCATGCAGAGATACTTGTATGAATATGAGTCATTCTTTAGAATAATTGGTGGGAGTGAAATTGCTAGGTTGTATAGTGCATGCTGAGATTCTTAGGAAGTTATCAAACTGTTTTCCAAGAGGCCATTCTGTTTTATAGTCCCTCTGGTAAAGAAAGAGTGATCAAGTTTCTGTGTGTCCTCATCAGTGTTTTGTGTTTTCACTGCTTTTAGTTTTACGATTCTGATAGGTACATACCAATATCTTGTGGATTTAATTTGCATTCTCCTGCTGGATAATGATACTGATATCTTATCCGTGTGCTTGTTTTAGTTATATGACTCTTCAGGTCTTTTGTTCATTTTCAGTGAAATTACTACTTTTATTGAATGAACTTTGAAAGTCTTACATTTTCATGGTAGATGCTAGACCCTTGTCAGATGCAGTATTTCTGAATATTTTCTCACATTTTGCATCCAAGATGTTTTATGGAAGAGGAGTTT